AACCTGATAAAATCTTGATTGTTAGGGTTACTTATATCTGACAGACCTTGATGCAGGGTGACCCTACAACTGGTCTTGTTGCTGTGCCCTGGTAAGGCAAATATAAGCAATTTTTTATATGTTATGCATTCAAAAACAAGATTTTGCGGTTGCTATAAGGCTACAATTGGAAAAGCAAAAGCAGGGCACCTGGAAATTAAAGGAAACGAGAAAAAATTTTGATCAGACAATAAGTAGATATGCATGTCATGAAAGAGAGATGAACAAATGATAAAAAAAAAAAAAAAAACAATAACAACAACAAAAATCAACTTTGTAGAGTAATTTTACATGGGAATCAACAAAAATCAACAGAAATTTAAAAATTAATGAGCCAAAGTAGCAAAAATCAATGTTTTAGTAACTTCTTTCATTGCTCAACAATTAGTGGGAAAAGAATATAAGAACATACATATGAAATTGAATTCAAAGGCATTATTTTATGCTTTTAAAGTGATTCCTTATACCAAATTCTACTTAGATTGGAAAAATTCCCTTTCCACCACAAAATGGGAATTTGATTTTTTATTCACTGGTTGAAAGGAAAAGGTTGAAAAAGGAAGCATAAGATTGATAGGTGGTGAAGTAAGAAAAGACTTTCTGACTATCTATTTTTGCTACCATGTGATTTCTTGAGTCACATCCATATCTACTACCCTAAAAATGCTATCCTCCATGTCTAAAAATTATGCCATTAATCAATCTTTCTCCCTCAATAATGCACACTAAAACTTTTAAAATGTCTAAAATTGCCATTGATCTCTATATCTATTGCTTTTAAAACTGTTGACATCTACTTTTTTTTTTTTTCAAACAAGAGAGAATCACTAGTATCTTCTATATATTAACATTTTGAGGATTCCATTTATACTTACCAAACATATCTTTTTTGACATCACGAAATATGTATAATCTTTTCTCATTTTATAAATTTAATCTCATTTTTTTTTAAAATTCAAGTTAAAGTTTCGAGTAATTTTTAACAATCGAGAATAAATTCACTAATCATGAAGTTTAATTACAGGTAATGTTTTAATTAGTTGATAATATTACTTCCTAATTGATAATTTACCTCGTATATCAATAATGCTTAATCACATCTTGATCCCATTTTGAGGTTTTTTTTTCCCTTTCCTAGGTTAATTTTGTACAATAATGCCACTAAAAGTTGCTATAATGATAGGCACATTATTTAATATGTATCAACCTTGAAATGTTGCTGAAATTCTCACTTTTAACACACAAAATAATTCATATTGACAGCTAAACTACAGAAAAGAAAAACTTCAAAAAAAAAAAAAAAAAACCCCAATAAAAGCAATGCCAGTGAGACATGGAGGGCTTAGAGCTTACCTCAGTTTGTTGACATTTTTGGTCAGAATAATATGACCTTGGATTTGCTGCTAACCATCATATTGCTTACCTAACAGAAGAAAAACATGCATTAATGAACACAGGCTGTCTTATCTTTATGATGTTGAAATCATTGCTGATTTATTGCCACTTAACAAACGGCAAACTAGAAATAATTCAAGTTTTTCAAGTTCCACACCATAGACTTTTGGCACCCACTGCATCCCATTCACATGGCAATGGGCTTTTAGCTTTAATAAAGAAGCTGAGAATTTGGAAGATTTTGGTTTCACCAAGGTTTTTTTTTATTAATTTTCCAACATTCTTTTAATCTTTTCCTACATTTTCTTTGCTCTTGGTTTAATAATTTCTTCCAAAAAAAAAAAAAATTATTATCAACAAGACATTTGAAGTGATTCATGGTGATATAATTGCCTAGCTTTCTATACTCAAACTAAAGCAAATATGGTATAGAGTCTTCTTCTTCTTTTTCTTTTTTAAAGGAAGTGAAAAGCAAAAACTTTAATTTGAGTTTAATTTAACAAGGTAGCAGGTAAATTTGATATTTCATATATTTGTATTATATAAAATATTAATAATTTGTATATTATTATCATGTTTTATATAAAAATTACATATTATAATTCGTATCGATTCAAAAACATTAAATACATTTTTTTTATTTTGTTAAATTCATATATAAATTGATACTAAAATTTTAAATCATAATTTCTATATCATTTTCGCATCGTATCATAATATTATATTTTAAATTATTATAACTAGCAATAGGTAGCAAGTTTACTTCAATAATGTCTATACAAAGAATTATATATAGAGATTATTCAATATACTTCGAAAATTTTTTATAAGACAATAAGAAGAAGTAGAGAGAAAGAAAGAGATTAGGAAATTAAAATTTACCCTTTTTTCTTTTATTTTATTGTTAGTGTAATATTATCTCATATCTAATAAATATTTAATATCACATAATCTTATATTAAAGTTGGAATCCTTCACTTACTGTCAATTAGTTTTAAGTTGAATAACATGATATCAGGTCAGGATTTCTTTTTGTTACTATTTCCAAATTTATCACATAATTGGCTTCTTACATCTCCATCTGTTAATATCCAATATAATTAACCAACTTTAAGTTAAATGCTTAACATTTGTAATGCATATGGGTGATTGTTCACTAAGGTTTGTCCAATTAGTGTCATTATATACAATAATTTTATCATAAAAAACAGTTATAGAAACAAAAAATCTCTCAAAATAAATTATTTCTCTAATTCTCTTCAATAATATTGTATATAACTAACTATATATTAATTTATCAAATATATATGTTGTGGCACAAATTAATTAAGTTCCTGACCCTCTTATAAAATTTGGGTTCCATCTAAATTAGTAGTAAAGGGATGTTAACTTGTAAAATTATATTGTCTCCCCTGCTCTTGATGATTATGTTATAAAAACAACAATAATAGATTGAGGATTAATAAAAGTATATGTTAAGATTGACCTGTTTTTAATACTAATAAAAAGAAAAATACAACATGACATATATATACATACATGCCTTTGCAATGCTAAGAGAATTGCACCATTCTCTCTTCTTAATATTAGATTTGATATGATAATATAATATGAATACGATATAAAAATATAATACAAAAGTGATATTATTTTAAATTTAGTAATAACTACATATGGGTTTAATAAAATAAAAAAAAAATTTCATATTTTTATATCAATACAAATTATGACATATAATTTTCATATAAAATAAGTAAAAATATATAAAATTTGATGTTTTACATAATATTAATACATAAATTGCTAGATCTACTCAAAACCGAAACTGTATGGGAAGGGTCGATGCATCACCCATCATGAAAGACATATATGCCTTTGCAATGCCTAGAGAATTGCACCGCTTTCTCCTCTCAATTCCATTCCATTGGGAAGAAATATAAAGAAAATTAAAGAAAAGAGAACACGATGCTTTGCTTTCCGTTTGGTGGTTTGGCTCTTTTTCCTGGTTTTTTTTTTTTTTAATTTTTTAATTTGCTTTGGTTTGATTTCCCAAGTTTACAAATTATATTATAATCATGTCATTCATCACTTTTCCTTTTTGGTACATCACTTTCGCTTTTGGCCTGCAGTTATTTTAAGACCACATGACATATTTATCATCATGAAAAATTCTGGGTGTATGCTTTTAATATTCATCATGTAATTGATAAGAAACAACAAAATAATAATTATACAAATCATATCCGATCCTTAAAGAGGAATCTTCTCAAATGTTTTCTGATTCTCCATTTTAGGTTCATAATTATATGATCTCCCCATCAATATATATATATATATATTATTTTGTGTTCAATCATGTTTCTTATGTGTAATTAATTTGATACTACTATAATTTAAGGATGAAATTAATAAATTTGAAGAGTAATTATCCAATGTGATCAACTCCTCGACGCTTAATTATAAATTTTATACAAAAATGAATTTTTAAACCGTATTTATAGAGTAAATGAATTTTTAATTACGTTTGTGAAATTAACAAGTTTCATCGTATATTGAAATTAAACTTTTAAAATTACACCGATATTTTGTGTTGATTAGATAAGTGAGTCTAATGTAAAGAAAAAGAAATCGAAAATCATGAATAAATTAGAAGGATAATAACTTTTGAATTGGACCTTTTCAGTTAGTATTTAATTTCTTCAAGAACCAAAAGCAAAGCATACAATTTATTTTATTCACCAGCTGAAAAGAGGAGACAAACCCCACTTCTTTGTAGAAAAAAAGCAAGAAAGGAACAAGATCATTAGTATATTTATCCCTACTTAGGTTTCATCAAGTCAAAGAAAGATTCATTGGTAACCAGCCAAAGCAAGAAAAGCCACCACCACACCACCTCCATTTCTTTCTATTTGTTGCCATTGCCTTTTGTCTTTCAAGATTCTTTAATTCATTTTATTTTGCAATTTATGGCCAAAATTAATGACTAAATGCCCCATAACATCCTTCTTCAATTTAATTTATGTTTTCAAGCCAATTCAATGAGCAGATCATTCAAATTCCAGTTCTTTGTTTGATAAGAAGAAAAAGTGAGGGAAAAAAAGGAAAACGTTTTAATTTAGTGATTGAGTTATAAAATAAATTAAACTTTCTTGTCAAAGCAATATTATATAAGGGAATTATAGTCATGAAAAAATAATCACCCCATTTCCAAATTAAACCTTAATTACATTATTATCTTTATAGTTTCACAAATTAAAAAATATTTAAATTTGAAATTTAATTCAATTTATTTATACGATTTTTTTAATTTTTTTTTATTTCCAAATTACGGCATCAAACAAAATTAAGGGCTACTTGGTGAATTCATCAACCAATTTCAACACCTTTCATGTCATAAGCTTCCATGTTACGTTGGTTCCTCGACAAATGTGTATCGAATTTCAAAACTTACTGTCCATTCACTTTTGGTGAAGCTTCTTCTCTTTCTCTCTTTCCTTTCTTTCTTTGATTACATATCCCCTTTTCCATTCTTATCTCCCCCCTTCAATTAGCCTTGCTGCTGGTTCATGGATATTGAACCCTCGTGGGATCTTTGGGGGGTGGTTATTTCTTTTCCTTGATTGTATGGCAACACCTAAAACACCATCAACGGTAGTCTCATACGCCTATGCTGAATCCCACTCTCTCCTTCTCTTGTTCCTCACTCTCGTTTTCGTTTTCCTTCTACTCGTTAACCCTACTACTACGAACCCCGCAACGTCATCCAATGTCACGTCTTCAATCCCTTTCAAGAGGCTCCTCTTAGATAATTCCTCGAAATCAACCTCTTCTACCATGAACTTGCATCCCAAGAAAGCGAAAAACACGCATACTTCTTCTTCATCCTCGCCGTCAAAATCTTCACGAAGAGAGTTTGGAGCCGAAGCTCACGACGTTCCTAGCGGTCCAAACCCTATTTCCAACAGGTAAGTTTGATTTGTGGAGACATGAACTACGGGTTGAAGATGATAGAGTCGTGATGGCAAAAAGTTATTGTTAATATTGTTTGTCATCTTTACGAGTACTGTTTAGTTCTTCCATTAATACTGCAGCTTGTCCCATTTGTGAAAAGTTTGTTGTCATCTTCATCATCACTACTGTTACTTCTTTTATACTTTTTCTTCATTTTTCCCTTTTTTTAAACTATACTCTATATTTTTCTACATGTATGTATGGTATTTATTTTATATATAGATGATGATGGTATGGTTTATATATTTACTTTGATTTCTTGTATGATTTGGTTTTCTTACAGGGGTGGGGGTTGTAATTCTTCTTTCATATTATTTCTTGGTGGGGATATATGAATCTCCTGATAGTTTTTTTACAAGTGAAACATATAGATTTTTTAAGAAAAACCTTGGAACTATAGTGTTCTTTTGGTTAAAAAATAACCCTTAAATCCAATGCAAAAGCTAAGTCTCTCCAGGTTCTGCCTTCTATTTCAATTGTATATTGAAAGATTTCCTTGATGAGCCTAGACCAAGTACAAGCATATAAAAAGAACGAATGATTGAAACTCGAAACTTAAGTCAGCTGATTTATGTAATCACCGATGATATTCAACAAGTTTGAGATTCAAATTCTTGTATCTATAATCTTTCCTCTGTCTCAAACTACCGTCTCTTTTGTAAAAACAAAAATGAATAATTAAGGGGAAGAGATCAGGTCTTAGACTGGTTTGAGAGTTGAGAGTGCATGGGTTTCCTCCCATTCTTCTGATCTGGTCTTAAAAGCATATATACACAGGGAAGGAAGGGCAGATAAGAAGGGAATCTGCTGCGCCAACATGACAGCAGTGAAGAAGATATGATCGGAAGAACTTTTATTTTGTCTGAAAAAATTATTTAGTCAGTCATTTGGACCTTGGCTTTTGTTTTCTTCGACACATAATCCGAGAAAGTGGAGATGTCAAAGTCATGATTTGATGATTATAACTGTATCATTTTCCCATTGTTGAATAAAATGTTTACCCATCATATGCATTCTGATTCAACTTAATTGCGTATGTCCAAAATATCTTATTTTATTTTTCTGGAACGCATAGATATAAATAAATGTTTTGAACTTTGTCAGATCATTTTAAATTTTTAATCAAGAGAGTGGTGATCAAGGCATTGAAATTTCTTCAAAGAAGATATTAAGTTAGTCCTACCATACCGTCACAGCCACCACCACCACCATTTCCACCAACGTCAATTGTCATAAGCCATCACAATCACTTCCATCCCCACCGCCTTCTGCTAATGATCACTTTGAAACCCTGTAATCATCTTCAAATATCAACCTTGATTTTTTGCACTAAACTAATTGGTATTTGAATTCAAATATGAGATGGAAAAATGAAATGTTTTACAATGGACAAAATCCAACAGCAACCTCTTGCAAGAACTTAATTAGCATTCAATACCCTTTTGTGCTAGAAGTCAGGAAAATGTCTCACCAGGGAAGATGCATTGCAAAGCCCAGTTTTAGTTCTTGACTGCACTCTTATCATGCAGCGAACTTTGCATAATGTTGCACTTGCAGTTGTTGATGTCGATGGCTACACTAGTTGTTGTTCTGTTTCTCCAAGCGGGTTTACAGCAGAGGAAATGATGCAACCAAACTTTCCAAGGGACGAAACTAGTTCATTTGTAGCATCCCTGCCCCTGGCAATTGTGATGGGGGCTTGAAAAGTGTAAAAAAAAATGCGGTTTCATGAATTATTAATTATTACTCAAACTCGAAAACTGAGTTGGCCAAAACCATGAACGGTAATACGAAATGCCACCCACTCTTTCTACCTTCAAAGCTTAGCCTGACAACTGTTTTCATCTTATAAATTTTCTTTTAACATTTTGAATTTGATGTTATCTTAATGCATTCAGCGGCAAAAAGGAAAAAATAAATAAAAACTGACATTACAAATGTACAATCTACACAAAAAAAGGATCCCACATTTTTCTCCATTATCCTCGGATTTTTCCTTCCAAAGAAAAAGAACAACCTTTTTTGTCGTTTCATTTCTAACCCGGATAATAGTACCGAACACGATTTCTTGTTTTTGTTTCAATTTTAAGGTGAATATTTCTTTTCACCTTAGTGTTCCATGGAGTTTTATGATCTGGAATTTGGGTTTTTTCCCTGGAACCTCCTATAGCTTGTTATTAGTCCAGGTCACGAGGTATAGTTTGTTGTTGTTGTTGTTTTTTTTTTTTTTTTAAATTAGGAAGGTTAGGAGCTGGTATATGGTGAAGATGTTATAGCATCGTCAAATCCAAGCCGATTTGGAGTTGGCTTTTAGAGGCATTTGTGATTAAAAGCAGGCAGTTCTTTGGATTGCTTCGCCGTTCATTTGCTTGGTTGGACCATTGAAGTTTACCAAAGGAGTTCGTGAATTTGGGATCCTAAGAAATGAGTTGCTTTTCATGTTTTCCTTCCCACGAGAAGAAGGCAGATAAAAGGCTAAATAGTCCCAGCGGGCTCAGACTTCTTCTCCGAGAGAAACTATTCTTTCCCAGCCACGGCCCGGTAATGTCACATTCCTTCCCTTTGAATTTGCACCTTGGGTAATGCTTTTTTCTTGCTTCAACATTATTCTGAGGTTTCCATTTCTATTTTTTTTCGCAAAAGAAGTCGTAGTGTGCGAATAAAAGAATAGATTGCAGGTATTAGGATTTGGATCCTAAATTTATTGGATCCACCTATTAAGGATGATTATATGAGCTAACTGAATTAGGTTCTGAGTTCTCCTTTTCTAGTTTTTTAGAGCAGCTGAACTAACTTCCGAGTTCTTCTTTACTAGTCTTCTATTATAAGAAATTTCATTCTCCATGTTTTCTTTGAAATTTTGGTCCGAAGTTGTAAGCTCTTTGGTTCAAGAAGTTATGCAACAGAAAACCACCTTGCCATGCATAATCATAAAAAACATGCAATTTCCTTTTTCTTAACCAAAATTTTGAATGTATGACCTTTCTTTCAACAGAGACTGTTCCTAAATCAAAGACCTCTGCACCTGAACAGACAAAGAATGCTGATGGCCCTAATAACAACAACATTATTCACAAACTTTCACTTTCCTCGAATTGGCTACAGCAACCAAGAATTTTGGACAGGAATGTTTGATAGGTGAAGGTGGGTTTGGGTGCGTTTACAAGGGAAAACTTGACAAAACCGGTCAGGTAAAAGATTTTGCTTCGACGCTTGTATATATACACTGAAGTTTTTTAAAAGAATCTATGTAGTCAATCGGGTTACTTCATTTTAGGTTGTAGCCATAAAGCAGCTTGATGGAAATGGATTGCAAGGAAATAGAGAATTTCTTGTTGAGGTGTTGATGCTAAGTTTCTTGCACCATCCAAACCTAGTCAATCTTACTGGATATTGTGCCGATGGAGATCAGAGACTTCTGGTTTATGAATACATGCCATCGGGATCTCTAGAGGACCATCTACTTGGTAATTTATTTTTCCTTTTCATTTCCTTTATGTTAATTATGAAACCCTAAATGATTTTGAATCCGAAGTTTAGCTCACTTGATTCATGCATTCAAATCTGAAGATCGAATCTCAATACATGTAATTCTTTTAAATATTCATAAGTAAAAAGAACTAGACTATCGACTGTTGTTTCTTATGAATTGTGTTTCGAATTTCAGATATTACACCAGATCAAAAGCCATTAGATTGGTATGCCAGAATGCAAATAGCGTTAGGCGCTGCTAAAGGTTTGGAATATTTGCATGATAAGGCCAATCCCCGTCATCTATCGCGATTTGAAATCCTCCAATATCTTGCTAGACAGAGTTCAATGCAAAACTCTCGGATTTTGGGTTAGCCAAGCTAGGACCTATTGGGGACAAGACACATGTATCTTCCAGGGTCATGGGAACATATGGATATTGTGCCCCGGCGTATCAAAGAACAGGGCAGTTAACAGTGAAATCAGATGTTTACAGTTTCGGAGTTGTTTTATTGGAGTTGATCACTGGAAGGATAGCCATTCATACGACAAGACCAAACGAAGAACAAAATCTAGTTTCATGGGTATGTCGCTTTTTCCAACCTCTTCCCTCCTGTTTCTTTTCCGATCCTTCCTAATCTCTAACCTTCAACCATTACCAGGCTGAACCAGTGTTCAAGGAACCAAGTAGGTTCCCACAACTCGCTGATCCACTTCTTAATGGAGATTTCCCTGTAAGAGGCTTGAATCAAGCAGTTGCAGTTGCAGCCATGTGCTTGGAAGAGGAAACATCGGTACGTCCCTTGAAAAGCGATGTGGTGACTGCTCTCAGTTTCCTTCGAAATGGTCCAGATGCAAGCACTGACGCTTCCTGGTTTCCTTCCCCGGAATCTGATAAGAAACCAGGATTTGCTGACGGAGAAAGTTATGGTGAAGATAGCAAGCAAGAACGCCAACGAGCACACTCGATCACAAACTCAGCACTATGTTGTAGAAAAAAATTGCCTAACATAAACACAACGTTGCCTTCATCATATATCTCCCTATTGTTCATCATGTTCCTCGAGGCTTTATCTTACGAAACCACTTTTTTCTATCATTTTCTAATCTGCCCTCTAAGGATGGTGCTGAATTGTGAACAAAATATCAAGCTAATATAATTGAGGATTAACGTAACGATGAAAAGAAGAATGGGAACGAGATTTTCATCAATTGTTCGTGTTCTGGTTGGTGAAGGTATGGTCAGTGGCTTCAGGGGAGCGTATTCAAGAACTCAGTTCTGGTGGGAACCAGCTCCACTCGTGTCTTTCATCTAAGTTATTGCTAGGAATAATGACTCCGGATATTTATTTGGGATTTGTTAAAGATTTTTTTAGAATTGATCAAATATTACTTGATAGGCAAAAAGACTTAAAAAAAAAATTTTAAGAGAAAAAATATTTTTAATAGGCAAGTTTGACTTGTAGGAGAAGAATTCTAAGAGAAAGTGATTTTTAATAGGCAAGTTTGTATGATTTTAAATAAGTGAAGTCTTTATAGGATTAGATATGAGAAAAAGATATAAGAGAGTTATAGTATTTTGTAAAATAGACACCTCATAGGAGTATTGGAGCTTTATGTCTTATGAGTATGTATATTTGTTTGTGAGTG